AAGGAGAGAAGGAAATCCCCTCCCTCCCACATTGCCCTTGATTTCAGACCCACAGACTGCTGCCCAAACCTGGGTGTTACCCCACAAGCACAGCTGTATCACAGAGGTGTTTTCCCTGCTCGGGGCTATGAAGGATYCAGTACCTGTTCCCTCAGGGCTTTGATCTCCTCTGTTTGGGCYCCCAGCTCTCGGCTGAAGGTGAGCAGCTCCTGGCTCAGCTCAGCCTCRCTCCTCACCGCTGCCTGGGCCAGTTTCTTTGCCATAGCCGCAATCTCCTCCTGCAGATCTCTGACCAGCACCTCTTTGCCCTTGGACTCTGTTTCCAAACTGGAGAGGTGACCAATTTCCTTCTCCAGTAGCTTCTCACCCTGCAGGCAGGTTCAGGCACCATTGGCCATTCTGCAGCTATGGACACTCCAGACCATGTGCCCAGGGCTGCTGACCCATGGCCACCAGCAAGGGACCTGCTGGCCCCAGCTTCCCACACCCTCTGGTCACCCACTGCACCCATGAAGCCTCTTTGGTGGCAGTCCCCACTCCCTGCTGGGACACAGCCTTTGGCAGGATCCACCTGCTCTGCCAAAGACCAGGATAGGGATGGCATTCCCCACTCCCTCCCTCCCCAGCATTACCTTCTCCTGGAGGGGGACATTCCCCCTGTGAGCCCCCAGGGAAAGGGCTCCCCCCGCACTTCTTGCACCGTCACCTGAGGAGCTGGTTGAGACTGGAAGAAAGCAAATTATAAGCATGAGAGRTGGTTGCAGGCARCAGAAATGCTCCCTGCAGCATCCCRTTCCCTTGTCCCTAAASTACTYCAAGGCAGTGGCCATTATTCAGGGTATGGTTTGGTTCACAACCAGCAGAGACATCAACTATTTGGGCTGAAAAGACATTTACAGTTGGTGCAAACAGTCCGCACCAACAGAAGAGAGAGAGAGAGTTACTTCACCTCTGGGAACCACCACAGCCTCAAAGCAGCAGAGACAGAGCAGAGAAAGGTTGCTCTTATTTTTSAGCACTGCCCAGCCCCTCAGAAAGCTGTGCTTTTTTGTCTTCCAGCACAGGAACAGTTGTGCTCACTGCCATGWGGGACTGGGGAATCCTTCAGGCTCTGTTCCAGAAGAGGAGTTTGTGCTGGGTGTGTCCTTTGCTTTGTTCTCACTGTGGTTTCCAGGTCAGCACTGGGACAACCTGGTGCTGCCTCACTCTGCACTTTGGCACCTCATTGTTGGCTTGGTGTTGTTTATGCCTGTTCAAAACACCCAACCCCACAGCAGGAAAACCACAGCATTGTGCACCAGGCCAAAACATTCCTGGCAAGTATCGTGTTCTCCAGCTGTTTGGGCTTACTTGCCCAAACCCTCACCTCTGCCCTGCCTCTAGCACAGATTTTATTTCCAGAGGTGTGGCAGGTTTAAAGCTCCTACACTCGAGGCAGCCACTTCAAAGGAGGTAAAAACACCACTCCAAACAGGGSTCAGGAACAGGCCCATGAGCCACAGGYRCAGATAAARTCAGTCAYGGCCCTTCTGGATCACACACCAGGAAAAAGGAAGAAGAAACATCCCTCTGCAAGGGCAACAGCATTCCCCTGGGATGTCACAGCTCATTAATTTCTTCCCTGAYCCAAATGCCACCCAGGACCCCACATGGCTTCTGATCAGCTCTGCTGGATGAAGACCCACACCCAGATCCTCACGCCCATCACTTTTCTGTTCCAATCAACTCCATTCAACACCAGGTTGCTCAGTGAGGACACCAGGACATAAATGGCTGGCTTTGGCATCCTGCAGTACCTGGCCTGACTGCAGAGGTGCTGCTGAAGGTGTCCAGAGAGGCTCTGGCCGTGCTCCTGTCCCGGGCACTCGCAGGTCGCTGTTTCTGCACTGGATGTGGTGTGTGCCCGGGGGCTCTGGGGGCTCCACTGCCCGGGGAGTTGGGGAGAAGCTGCCACTGCAGTGAGGGCAGGCGCAGAGGAGATGCAGGAGCTGAGAGTTTGGGTTCTGCAACCACCTGGAGCTKCCCAGCCCACCCTGKGGATTTCMAGCGGGGACAGGATACCTAYGGTGGGAAAACACCRYGTTATCTGCAAGATTTTAGGAGATGTTTTAGCTCTGGATTCACGTGCACTGTGTCGTGCAAAACCCTGGCACAGATCTCAGTGGAAGCACAATTTTAGTTCTTTCCCATTTCCATTGCTCAAGGATCAGATTTTAATCAGGGCATCCAGAATTTTTGCTGAAACAAAAAGAAATTTTTGGAATTTGCTGCTTTTCTGAGCTTTCCCCTCTCCATCTGACTGCCCTAATTCTGCACATCATTTGCAGATCCAGCAGAGCTCCTTTCACAGCTCTCCTGGCTCACACAAGGCCCTACCCCAGCATTTCTCCTGTTCACCCTAAGGAACCAAAGCCTCCCGTTGTGCTCCTGCCTTCCCATTCATGGAAGGGAATCAGGGCATTGGCTGCTGTTCTCCTGATGAGCAGAGCTTCCCAGGACGGTGGGGACRWGCCAMCAGCAAGGTCTCAGTTACCAGAGCTGCCCCAAACATCTGCCAGCATGGGGTCAGACCTGGGTGTGGATCCTTCAACACGGGCTGTTAACGGAGCCCCAGACCCCAGCACTGAACCCCACTGCTCCAGCCCCTTCCCCTCTGCCAGGACACATCCCAGCCCTGCTGCTCTCAGCTCCTTCTCCTCTCCCTGGCACATCCCATCCCTGCTCCAGCCCCTTCTCCTGTCCCAGGTCACATTCCATCCCTGCTCTCCAGCCCCTTCCCCTCTCCCTGGCACATCCCATCCCTGCTCCAGCCCCTTCCCCTCTGCCAGGACACATCCCAGCCCTGCTCTCCAGCCCCTTTCCCTCTCCCAGGCACATCCCAACCCCTCTGTTTTTGCTCTCGCTGCCTCCCACAGCCCTGGCTCACAGCGGGATCCCACAAAAACCTCACACAGCCTGTCTGGGCACGGCAGGATGCAATTCCCAGCCGGGTGCTGCTGCTCTGTACAGCATGTTCCTTCCTCTAAGCCTCGAGAGGAACGATCCCTCCCTGTCAGACACTGCACARCCGAGGTGGTTCCCTCCCTACAAGCAGCGGGGTCAGGCTTCAAAGCTGCTCCTCCGCAGGAGAATCACAGAGCAAGGAAAAGGCACCCCGTGGGCAGGCTCTGCATCGCTGGGCAAAGCCGATTCTGTGTGTGCACCCTGCCTTTGGGAATCCAAATGCTTACTGCTCCAGTGGGATCTAACTTTACCCWGGCAGAATCTTGGATTCTTCAAGAGCCACAATCATAAAAATGTTGCTGGCAATTATCAGTTGCTAGGTTTGGTCTGAAACCCAGCTTCTCCCTAATTATCTCGGGAGGAAACATAAAATGAAAATAAGAGGAAAAGGTCATTTCCCAGATCTACGTTTGCTAATGCGACTCGGTCCCGTGTTTTTCCCCACCGAACTGCCTGAGTTTCTTCAGCAGAGGGAGCTCCAGCTTTTCATTTTCTCCCCTCCCCGCCTTTGGCAACTTTTCTCGGGATCTCCCAGACACGCTGGGAGCGAGTTCCYGCTTCTGGAGCCTTCCTTGTCAGCAGCACCCACCCATTCATCTTTCGTCAGCACCTTTCCCTGGGCATC